AGAGGAGTTCCCAATCGCTTTGTTATGCGAAGAGAGTTGTGTGTCAGAGTTATCTGACACTTCAGACTCTACGTTAAATCTACAGAGTCGGGGGGAGTTTCTAAAAAATTTTCCTGGTGCTTAACAGTGCTTGTTGCTTTTTTAGCAAACCTGAAGGCATTTATATATGCCCCAGTAGGCCAGAACTCAGGCAAATATATTTTGTCCCACAAGTGAGCAGGAACCCCTACCTTAAATGTTCGATAGCCTGGGAATCTGTTCCTCATTTGTGTGACTTTATAATCACCACTAATTTCATCACTTATATATTTATTAACTGTGTCACAGTCAACGTCTGTAGCCAGCCTTGAGATAAATAAATACCTGTATTTGTTGACAGTTTTTAGTTTGTTGCTAGTATTGGCAGAACCTGTGATAGAATTTTCGTTATTAAAATGTTGTTTTCCAGAACTTTGTATTTGTTTGTACACCTTCTTAAGACCATTAGTGTTAACTGCACTTGTACTTGTTGTAGTTGGTAGGTTAGGGTTATGTTTATACGGTTTTGACAGTTCAGTTTGACGTTTTCCACCATTCCTCTTCACTGATGTTTTTTGTTTGGCAGGCGTAACAGTTTCGCTGTTTCGCTTGTCTACTACAGGAGCAGACGTCGCAGGAAAACTAGCAGAACTTTTGGCGGCAGACGACACGGGCAAAGTAGTCGAATTATTGACAGACTGATGACAACTACTAAGATTATAATTAGAATTGTCTTTATGATTGTGAATAATATTCTTTGAGTTGTCATTTGAAGATTTAGATGAGTCTATAAATTTTTCACTATTAGCAATCATTTTAGATTTATTTCTCAAAACACTTGCAAAAGTGTTACTATCTTTTAACATAAGATCACTGACAGCCTCTGCCTGATTAGACAAAGCAGTTTTTAACCTTACATTTTCTATTTTAATTTCGGAAATTTCTGCTTTAATTTCTGAGTTGTTTTGAGATAGTTCATTGATTTTTGATATCAAATATTCAATTTTCTCTGAACAAGGGCAGATATGGTTGACAATTGAGTTGGTGTCGTAAGCTACCGAATTGTCTGTGTTGTTACTCACGTTACTTTCAGCGACGGAGCATATATCACACTTCCAATCAATTTGAGAACAATTTCCCACAAAGTTTGATTTTGATAAACTGGTACAATTTAAATGAAACATATATTTACATTCACCACTACATTGGATTTTGTCAGATTTTAAATTAATGATTTTGTTACATGAGCCACATTTTAGTGACTTGTTTCTTGGCGGAGCCATCTTGATCACGAGATTTGTATGTTATCGTTCATTGAAATATATTGATGAACAGTCCAAATTGATGAATAGACCATGATGTATGATGGTCTGATCCAATGGCCATCGTACAGTTAACACGGCACAAACATAGCCAAACCCCGGCTTCAATAAACAGTTGTAAACTCCTGTTAAAATATATTGTCACTAAATCAACTGTAATTGTTTCCTCGTTGCTCTATGTTTAGTTGCGCAATAAGGAAAATAGGAATAAATATCAGAGAAGAAGAAAAGATAAATATTTGATCCCACCTTTTTCCATTATTCTCAATACATTTTTATTCTAGTAACTGGAATAAAAAATACCGGGAAAAACTGGAAGGAAAAAACTGAATAATATTGTTTATATTAGACATTTTTCCTTATTTAAACTTTATTGCATATACACTGAATAAAGTCTGACATTCTTATGTGGATGAACAGCTTATTGATTTACTGATTTAAGTAATTGTTTGTACTGCATCGAATATCAAGGATCATCTATGGTAGGAAGGATCTGAACCGCGCCTCTTACTAATGTTCTGAGTTCCATTCCTATATGGTGGAATAGTCCATGGTGGAAGGAAAATACATAGGTGTGCAATTCCCGTCATATGCTGACGTCACCCAGATTGGAAACAAAAAAAATCAGCTGATTGTATTGCCATATAAGTATATGTTTGTTTTGATTAGATTGTTATTGTTTTTATAATTTTTCTAAATGGTAAAATGGTGTTTGCAATCAGAGTGACGTCAGTATATGACGGGAATAGCACACCTATGTATTTTCCTTCCACCATGATATTAGCCACGATGCGTTAACATTGACATTATTTGATGATAGCATGATATTGTATGATATTATATTATATTATATTAGGCAATATAATTATTATGGCATTATGTTATGATGCATTAAATACACTTGTAAATTTCAACCATTATCAACAAAATATTGCTGGTTTATTAGAGCTAATATGTTTACAGATTAATTTAGTTCATATTTCCAGATTTTGTTACAACATTACATTAAACGATCTATCAAAAAACCTTGATCAATTGTCAAGTTTATGATTACCATCACTGACATTCTTTGTGATATTATTTATAATTTTCTTGTTGTGCCTACGCTAGTGGATTTTCAGTGAAAAATCACAAACACTTTGAAGGTTATATATTTACAAAAGAACACTTAAGAAATCCGGCTCGAAGGACCAACATGTTAGATATTGCGTTGTGGTGCGGTAAAATGTTCTAATAGAACATAAAACAACGTTTTGGGAAAATTTTTAGAGATTTTTAATGAACTGTAAAATCCAATACCAGGACAGATGCTACAATATAAATTATTTGCTCAGCTACATACCCAAACACTAACTATGGTTACCAATGACCAACATTTTATGCAAGCAGTGAATTCTCTTGGTCAACACTTGACCTATACAGGATATTACGGTGCCTTAGTTAAAATAAAGCATACTTAATCAGCGTTTCAACGTTCCAGGCTGTTTAACGTAAACTGAGTAACCTCTTTCTTAATTAATATTTGGCACCGATATTTTCAATTTATCATAGTCTTAAAGGATACCCATGTTACAACAGAGTTAACACATTTACAGCTATTTAAGTATTAAATCAAACATGGTTATACTACGAGGACTATGGCACTTAGATTTGTGGCTATTATAAATGGTATTAGAGGCATGTGGGGACATAATTTCTTTAAAAATTGCCAAAACAGTCAACCCATTATGTAATGGTCTTCTAAATGATGAAGAATCTTGCGAAATATTTCTAGTATATTCATTATGAGCTCTATTCCTTATTTCTCTTCTGTTCCTTAGAACTGTTCCACGTCGTGCAGGCCGTCCCCTTCCATGCACAGTCACTTGATTCATTATAAAAATGTTTATTTAAAGGACAAACGAAAGATAATGCATTTTACCAAGTCGTCTATGATACGCAGCAGCTCTGAAAATTGTAAGTCGATCATTTTTAGATCACTTTAGTGAAAGCAGAATTCATCTAAATTATTTGTTGATTAGTAAACAAACTTTACGCGCTCTATAAACAGAATTACAAGTAAAATAAAAATGATAATACATTTTTAATCACGGTGTCATGTGTATTGTAAACAAGCAAACGTTTTTCAATCCGTTTGAAAAATGTTTTAATTATTTAATTTATCATCTTTTTGGTAGATTTTGACATAATCTGGTATTTCTCTCGACCCCCTGTGACCAAGAGCTTAAATTTGAACCTTCTCCCATCATCCTGCGAGCTGTCAATTTCTCACAATTTACATTTTTAAAATCTTTTACATAGTTGATATGATAGATTGGCTCAATGGATACATAGCTTTACTGCTACGAGAAAAGCTAAAATTTTTGTTTTATACAATTTCGTAAGCAGACGAGGAAATGAAGAAATGTGCCAAATTTCATGTTCCACTTATAAATCCATTAATCTGCTGCAATCAATTTTTCCATAGGGATGACATGAAAGATAACAACAATGCAATGTGACTACATATAGGATGTGACTAGGAGCCGGATGGTTCCAATTTATCTATAAAGGAACTAACTAAACGTTAGAAAAATTGTATTTAACCTCTAAAACATGATTTTCGCTTTTCGTCAAATCGATGTTGGTGCAAGGCAACTAATAATTGAAAAAGTTTGCATTTTCTTATTACCTTACACCTTTAAAAGCAGGTTGGCGATATTAACAATTTACCATCGGCATTGGGAAACTTTAAGAGGGTGTTTAGAGGCCTTATTACTGATATACTTTACCTTTACACAGTTTGTTGATTAATAGATTATACGTCGATAATTAACTACTAATTAAGTTTCGCAGATGTTAAGTTCTTGGAAGACTTAGCTGTAATAAGCTGAATAATATTAAGTTTCACAACGTACATTACAGCTTTGGTACTTTTAACTCGATGTTAAGTGAAACCTTAGAATATCTTATAAAATACGATTAAATTGAATAACATTTATGCTTCATTAGTAAATTATTGTCACTTAAAATAGATTCACTATTTGACTGTCTTCTCAGTATTAGTGGAAACATACTTGATCAACACACATTTAAATTGTTATCATATTAATCAGTAGTGAAACCTAGAATTCGTAACAGTTCATTGTATATAATTAATGACATAAAAAAAGAAAAGAAAAAAAACTAGCTTGGATATAAAACATAAATATATTTACAATACGATGGCGTGTATGTTTACATAATAAAAAAAACATGCATTAATATACCTTTCATCGATGAAATAAATCAACTTTTAATTAGCTAATTGTGATATTTTAATTTGAATCTGGAATATAATTTCCACCAGTATTCACCTTTCCAATTGAAATGTGAATAAAAAATACGCTGCGATCAAATAGCCTACCGCTATTCAACGTTTTCCAGTATTCAATTACACATGAATAAACCTGGTCTCTGTCCAATTTCCAGCCATTCACATTCATATTAATCTCGAATTCATACACTACGATTTCATTGCGAAATTAACTTTCCCACCTGCAAATAGGATCGTGGATTACTATCGTAACCGCTTTGTACAAATCTTCCCCGATCAAAGTTATTATTGTCTTTGATCATCTTAGATTGATTAGAGCAGGGGGTTCATTGGAGAGATGCAATGAGATGAGATGATTTACTTACCGATGAGAGAGGTGTTCGTGCATGGATGAGTGCCGGGACCACGAAGTAGCACTACTGTAGTAGGAGAGGAACAAGATGTGACTGTGGGGTGAGAGTCTAGGGGTGGTGGGAGCACAGGAGGGTGGTTCAAGCGCGCGCGGCTCCTTCGTCAGTGACATACAGATATTGACATATCTGTTATATAGTCATACACGGATATGGTCCTATGTATTATCCGCTGGAAAAGGGAGGGGTAAGCTCTTAAGTAATCACGGTTTATTTTGGGGGTTTTGTTTCTCCGAAGACATAATTTGATTCTCTATTTAACCTGAAAGGCTTCTAGCAATAACGACCCACCTACACAAACAACAATCATCGCTGTATCTTTTTTAGATATATTATTTAGAATATTATAAAACCTTACTTATTAAATAAGCTAAATATTAAACGTCACCTAAAAATGCTTATTTCGTTATTTTTACTATAGGCTTTTACAATACACTGACATGTATAAAATGCGAATTAAATTATACTATGTTTAATTCAAATGAACTCTGTGCAATTTCTTTCAAACTGTCGTAATTTTACAAACTGTACTAATTCATAAAGGAATTGCTGTTATCCATTTTTTCAGTTTAACGCCGCAGTCCCGATCCCTTGGATGACGAAAAATTGGACCATAAACTTCGCTTAAATGTCTATGAAAATCTGTAAAAGGAGACATAAATACTTGAGTATTACATAGTTAAACAATTAGTCCACACTAAAAGATATATTGTAATTTTCTTTTGTAGCACGAGAATTGTACTAACTTTTATGGAAAGCTGTGTCTTAAAAGTCTTAAAATGAGCACTACCTGCATACTACGATATACGCAAGTGAATTGGCAATAGTTTTGTAATTAAGTTATTAAGTTCAGTGATAAAGTTACTCTTCACAAAAATATTTAGTTAATACTTTGAATTGTTAAATTAATGGTTTATACGGTTTGTAGTTCTTATTATAAAAAAATATAAGAGTCATTCAGTGTAAAGAACAATTTTTTATGTTGCCTAAAATAGAAAGTATGCCCTAGTTACAAAAATACATGTTTATAGTAATTCTGTTTAGTAAAGATATTCCTAGACGTCAAAAACAATATTGTTGGCACGAGATAATTATCTTGAATTTGTTTATCCTTAATTGAAACGCTGTATACAATATTGATTCTCTAGAAATATAACGAGATTATAGTTCATACTTACTCTGCTCTCTAATATTACTATTACTGTATACTATCAAGTTAAATATTGAAGACACCAAATTTACGGGGTTGAAATGTAGGCATTTTTTAATATTAAACTTTCTTAATTATTTGCAAACGCATTTACATGAAGTGTTGTTAATGTGGGATTGTGGGGGAATATTCGAATTTATGAGGCTACATTCATAATGATTTGGTTTGGTACATTGGGCGAAGGCTATTTCAAATGGCACCGTGGTACATTTAGAGCTATTTTCTCAATAAGTTCAATGCTATTACTTTAAAAGGTGTACCCAGTTTGGTGAATACAGGGTAGGGCAGACCACCCGTACACATACTTTTACGGGAGTACGTTTTTACTTAGAAACGCAAAATAAAATTATTCCCTCATACCTACGAAGAATCCATTTAAAATACTTTGAGCATGATTCAAGCACAGGGTGTTCAAGAAATGGAGTTCATGGGTTCAAATCTCAAAATATCCTGATGTCAACCTATATCCTAGTATACATTTTTAGAAAGGGCTTGCTTAGAGCAACATTTTGGTGGAAACAGAACTCAGTTATCTCAATTAGTTTCAAAATGGCAGCCATTTTTGTGAATTTTTCCCGTATTTACGTAATACCCTGTATTTTCTAAACTGCTAAACATTTTTCCGTTCTTATTGAACATTCTTAATCCTGGTAAACACAGCTTTACAATGTTGTGGCACATGTAATAATTATTAAAATTATCATTTCTTACCAAAATTTTATTTCATTGTAATGTTGGTAGCCTTGTAAATCCAAAAAATCAAATAGCAACATATGACAAATGGCATATCAATTTAAGCGTCTTGTTAAGATGAACAACTTTCTATTTTACACCTAGTGTCTATTTCTTTTATTATTTGAGTAATTAACCAAAAAACTAATTTTTTCCATATAAAATGCATTTTACTTTTAAAAGTCTAAAACTAAAATAACGGCATTGTTTGGTAATGCAATTAACAACAATCCTAGGTGAAGACGTACTCCCGTTAAAAGTATGTGTACGGGTGCTCTGTCTCACTCTATATAATCCATTAAAATGTTTAGGTAATGTTTCCAAAGCCTTTTTTCCAAACCTCTATTTATCACAACAAATCCAGATAAAAATCGTCAAATGCAATGAAAAGGATTTAATCCCGTTCTCGTAAAGACTCTACATACATTATTAAGTCAATACCATCACTATTATTCATTTTTATTCATATTTTTCAATCTTTCCAAAAAAATTTTTGTACTGTCCAATATCATCAATCGCTATTAAAAAGTTACGATGCCCAGAATTTCAACACTAGGTTCGATTTCCATTTCCATACGGACAAAATCCCTAGTCTCATCCAAATACATAAAACTGATCGGTTAAAAAAGCAGACGGCTGGAAAAGCTCGTTTCCGAAGAACATCTTAGAGGATTACGATTAAAGACGTCCAGTATTACTTGTGATGATTCAGCCTTTCGCTTTCAATTACTGGTGTTGAGCAAACCACACGAAGTGTCACTAGCCGTGAGTACGACACGTTTGTCGGTATCAAATAGACGATAAATGGCTTACAAAATTTATACATGGATTTTCCCAACTACTTTATGTGTCGTTTGCTATAATCCCCTGTATGCATCCAAGTGAATTTGTATATATTTCGTCAGTATTAGGTAGGCTGATAAACTGCTTACAAATATTAGAAGCATTTATTCAGCTGGTGAGTGTTTTGTAGGGTATAAGTTACCGTATACGTTGAAGTATGTTTATAAATATTTCGTCAGTATTAGGTAGGCTCATAAACTATTTACAAATATTAGAGGGATTTATTCAGCTGGTGAGTGTTTTGTCTGGTATAAGTTACTGTATAAGTTGAAGTACCGGTATGTTTATAAATATTTCGTCAGTATTAGGTAGGCTGATAAACTACTTACAACTATTAGAGAGATTTATTCAGCTGGTGAGTGTTTTGTCTGGTATAAGTTACTGTATAAGTTGAAGTACCGGTATGTTTATAAATATTTCGTCAGTATTAGGTAGGCTGATAAACTACTTACAAATATTAGAGGGATTTATTCAGCTGGTGAGTGTTTTGTCTGGTATAAGTTACTGTATAAGTTGAAGTACCGGTATATTTATAAATATTTCGTCAGTATTAGGTAGGCTGATAAACTACTTACAAATATTAGAGAGATTTATTCAGCTGGTGAGTGTTTTGTCTGGTATAAGTTACTGTATAAGTTGAAGTACCGGTATGTTTATAAATATTTCGTCAGTATTAGGTAGGCTGATAAACTACTTACAACTATTAGAGAGATTTATTCAGCTGGTGAGTGTTTTGTAGGGTATAAGTTACTGTATACGTTGAAGTGTGTTTATACTGTAAATATTTTTACCTACGACCGTTTTTTAAAGTAGCCATTTCAGTACAGTTCTTAGAATTGAAAAGTTTCTCATAACAGCATTGTTTACTTTCATAACAGAATAGTTTTACTCATAACAACACGGGTAACGGGCCGATGAGGTTTATGGATTGAGATAGAAGAAGTAAAATTGTAATGATTCTAACTTCAACTAATCAGCTGTTCAGGCCAATTTAATTGTTGAGTGGTGCAATTAGTGTTTAGTAAAATGTTTCGTTACATCACTGTCAGTGGCAATGAGAGGTTATAAATGAAAACATCAGGACTACAAACAAACAATGTTTGTAGTCCTGCGAAAACATAACCTCTCTCAGAGAAGTAAGCTAGGTTATATTTTGTATGGTATCAATTATATTATACGTTAAAGTTGAGTAGTTAAGTTAAGTATTATAAGTTAAAGAAGTGACCTGTTATTGCTATTGTTATTCTACATCTCTTGCTGTTTATTATCTGTTTATGCTGTTATTGCTGTTTTATATTTATATCCACTGTCATTCATTATTGTTGTCGTTTCATATTTATTATTGGTTGTTATTTCACATTTTTATCATCTCTGTTATACACTGCCTCAATTCTATTCTAAATCTAGATTCTTGTTATACATTACGATTTCTTGTTTTTGAAATACCCATTTTGTTTTCAAATTTAAAGTTTTAATCTGCTTGTTTATTATTGTTTACTCATAAGACTGACTTGTCTCTACCATAAATTTATTTATTATTGTAAAAATTGTGTTTACCGTTGGAAATAAATGAATTGAAATGAAGGAACGTGAGTAAATTGCTTACAGATATTAAATTGATTTAGTCAGCTAGTTTATGTGCTTAAGCATACTCTGATTTCATAACGCCCAGCCCAAATTACCCCTAAAGTACTGTGAGACACATTTTTATACGAAAACAACCTTATATTTTAGTATCCCTGTTTTCTTTACTTTATTGCCGATCACCTGGTATGCGTTTTTTGTTGCATAGGTTTAGGCTTTGGGTTTTTTTATATTTATTTTCAATAAAACGGCGTAAGGGTTTGAATTTAAGTTTCTAGGTGTGATTTCAGTACCTAATAAATCAACTTTCAATTGACATATAAGTTTACAAGTTTAAGGGAACCAAATCATAATTTAAGGAAAACTCAAATCTCTAGATTTAAGTGAAAATCCAATCAGGCAAATAGAAATTCGCTTAGTCTGCAGGTTTGCTGCGACGGGGGTATTTTGTTTAGCCTACTAATGATTCGGTTTTAGTAAATTTTTTACTGTTACTGGCATGTACAAATTTTAGGAAATCAAATCCGTGGTTTTATCAATGATTTACTTTCAACTTCGAGATTAGAGAAACGCCATGTTGTGTCTTATTTTCAATACATTCCCAATACTGTAACACTGAACCT